TGGCAGGGGTCCCCCCATGGTCCCATCCCTACTCCTCCAAGCCCCCCTCCCCCACCCCCTACTTACCAGCATGGAGTCTGGGTCCAGCTCCCTGCTGTAGCAGGTGGGGACTGCCCAAATCACCAAAGCTCTCCGAATCTTTTCTGAAGATTCAGAGAGCTTTGAATTGATCCCCTGATTCGATTTGGATTTGGAGATTCGGCCACTGAATCGGGCCGAATCGCCTCCAAATCAAATCAGCACCCAACGCTTCGCACAGCCCTACTGATTGGCTCTTTTGATAGCTGGATAGTCATTTTATTGTGTAGTGACTACTTTGCATGTGTGGCTGGTCTAAATTTATTTTGCAAGTCACCAGTTAATTGCATAATAGATGTAATGCACTGTAGGGGTCCCAGTCCTTGAACTGAGCAGAAAGACAAATAAAGCTGAATAGAAACCAGCTACAGAGTTGTTACAGATGTGCAAACGCTAACTTTGTAGCCGGTTGACTCTTTTTAGAGCTGGATAGTTATTTTTATCATGTGAGAATTACTTTGTACATGTTACCAGTCTAAATTTATTACACAATTGACCAGTGAATTATGTAATATGTGTAACATGTAGTGGGGGCCTTATAGTTTCATTGTTCCCCCCTGTGTTAGAATGTTTACTGGTGGATGGTTACAGCCAACCCTTTCATATGGGCCCATCATGTACAGTAACAAGGGAGAAAAGCATTCTAGAAAAAAAACGGGGCAATGCAATTGCCAAACCTCAACTATTTCATTAATAGACTTAAAGTTGGTGACCCTTGAATCACCTCAGGTTAAGGTCTCAGATCATCACAATTTTATTAAAGATCATGGGAAGATGCAGAGGCAAGGGTTGTGTGGGGATGCTTTTTTTATTGGACCTGCAGCCTGGTAGGAATGGTTAGACCAGCAAAGGTGGTTCCAGGAGGAAACCTGGCATTCCAAAACATGTCTCTCTTTGTTCCAACCATGCCCTGGGTCCAAGAATCACCCCCAATCACTCCTTGCCTGTGATAAGAACGGCCATTTACTGGATCAGGCCCATAGGGCCGCCTTGCCCTCCACCAGCAACACCAACTGCTTGCCTGCTAGCTGCTCTGACAGCACTCCTGTGTCTACCCTCCCATGGTGAGTCTTGTGCCCCAATCCCCATGTCTTGTGTATGGTTGAGTAAGCCAGTAGCGTGCTTCCCCTCCTCCCTCCTATGCACCCTTGTTTGTATTTTTGTGTTCTGCACAGCCTCAGCCCCAGCCCCAGCCCCTCACACACACAGCAACCCCACCTCCCCAACACACACAGTCCCTGAACCCAGTGCAGCTGAAGGAGGCACTCTAGACCCCTCTACAGCAAGCCACCTTCTTACCCACAGGTAGAGGGGAAGCACACAGCTCTCCCTCCTGCACCCCACCTGACCCCTTCCCATCTAGCCTCCCATGGCAAGGCAAGAGGCCCCCAAAGGGGCTGTCATGTTGTCAGACCCCAACCAGGGGACAGCCAATGAGATAGGGGAGACCTTGCCCTAGCCAGTCTCCCCCAGAGGGCCACAGTGTCCCCTAAACCCAACAAGGGCAGGGGAAAATGCAAGGGATCCTATTCCTCCTTCTCTATAGGGGGTTGGAAGGGTAAAGGGAATGCAAACAAAGCCAGACTACCAACACCTGCAGAGCCTCATTAGCAGGTGCCCTGCACACTCTGCCTTCTCCCAGCTCTGCAAGTCTGGCTGCTCAGCCCAGCAGCCAGAGCTATGCCCAGGAGGCTCTAGGGAAACCTGCAGCCTTGAGGCCTGGGCTTGCCACTACCTCTGACCACACCACCTCAGACAGCCAGGGCCCCCTCCCCAACATCAGCAGGCACAATGGGGTGCACTGTGACATGCCTGAGATAGAGCCACCACCCTTTGAAACCTCTGTGCAGGTGCTTGCTTGGGACCCAAAGATTTTGGTGACCTCTAGACATTATGGCAAGAGTGTTATGGAGGCTGCTGTGCAGGAGATGGTGGACAAGGGGCTTGCAGTAGGGAGCAAACATGTCCCCCTTGAGGCCTTGAAAGAGCTGGGGACCTGGGTTGTCCTCAGCCCCATCCCCCCCCCAATCCCTAACTCAAGTCTTTCCTGCAGGGCCTGGGGACAGTCCTCCTCTCAGTCACCATCCTCCTGCTGGGCTGCCAGGACCTCAGCCTTCAGCACATCCAATTCTCCTGCTGCCAGGTCACCACCCAGCTGGCAGTGGAGATGAGGGGGACCTTTATGGTCCCCTTCCAGGAGTCCCTCAACTACATCTACTACTCAGCAGGGGAGGTAAGGTGCTTCTGGTAGCAAGATTCCCCCTCAGTCAACAATGGGGGACACTACAGGTCGCTGCCAAGGAGAGGGCTGCCACTACCACTGGTACCCCAGCCTCAGCATCCAGTTCCCCACAAGCTCTGGGGGCTCCACAGCACAGCCACCAGCAGGGTCCCAAAATGGGGTACGCTGGCAAGGGAGGGTAGCAAGGGAGGTAGGCCTGCCCCTTGGCTGAATGGGTGCTGGTCCTGTAAAGGCAGTGATCTGTTGCCCAGAGCAAAACAAAGCACAAGGCCCAGGGGCAGTTCGGGTCCTCTGATATGGAGAAGGTCTGCCTCTCATCACCTAAGAGGGGGGCTGACTTTGACATCATGCTCACCACCTCCTGCGCTGCACCACAAATCCCACCCTCAGGAAAAATTAAAAAGATAGTTGTCACCATCACGGAGAAGGGCCCAGGATAGTACAGCTGTCCTGTGGTAGAGAAACCCATGATGGAGACCCCCAGCTCTGCCAGGTGCAACCTGCCTCCCCAGTCTCAGCCATCCATGGCATGGGTCTGGCAGCAAAGTCCTCCCCCTCTGACTATCTGGGGGAGCCCTGATGGAGAAGAGTCCCTTTCCCAGAGCTCTGAGGGCACTATACCACCCAGGTGCCCAAATCATCACCTCCATCCCTGATTGAAGCTGCCCCTGCCACAGACCCCAGTGTGTCCTGTGGCCCCAGAACTGAAGGCTGAGAAGCAGGGTCCCCCACTGAATACCTCCTTGACCCTAAGAAAGACCCTATAGAGGCTCTCCTGCCATTGTCCTACCATGCAGTCCTCTTCCCACTTCCCCCCAAAGGACAGCAGCTCTCCCTCTGTCAGTGGTGGGGGGATGTAGAGGACCAGGTGGTGTTCTACTGGGCCTCAATGTGTGTGGCTGCAAGACAGGTCTCTGAAGTTGCCAGGTACTCTCCGTCCTCTGTGCTTTTCCTGCAGGAGACCCATATGACTCCAGCTGTTGAAGTTAGAGTGGGGAAACAGGGTCTACTTCAGCCACCTGCCAGAGATAGCCTGTGGGGTGGCAACCCTGTTCTCCCTGGGTCTGCTGCCAGAGGTCCTTCTTGTCATTGAGGTGGGGCCAGGCCACCTGCTTCATCTCCAGATCCAAGTACAGGGGCTCATCCTCAACCTGGTAAATAGGTATGCGCCTGTGCATGACCTGGAGTTGGCCTGTTTCTATCGATAGGTGGATGCCTACCTCAGGATCCTGAGCCCTCACAAGTGCCTGGTCCTCAGTAGGGAATTTAATGCTACTCTTGAGGCACAGGACCATACTGCCAATGAGTGGAGCTGAGCTGCCACAGACGTCATCAGGGAGATCATCACTGACCACTCCCTGGTAGGCATCTGGCATACCCACCACCTGATGACACCAAAAACTCCACCTTTTCCAGGGTGGAGGAGCAATGGGCATGCCAGTTGTGGTTGGATCAAATCTACATGTCCATGCTAAATACTATCCAAGTCTACACCCCCAGCACTAGGCTGGCCCCTTTCAGTGACCACCATCTTGTATATGCTCAGCTCACACTGCAGCCTGAGCAACCAGGGCTGGCTGACTGGTACTACAACAACAGCCTGCTGGAGGACATAGGCTTTGTGATCACCTTCTGGGAGACCTGGCTGGCCTGGCACAGGCAGCAATATGACCAACACCTCTTCTACCTGTGAGGTCTTGCCAAGCAGGATCTGAAGGAGCTGCCTGATTTCTTCCAGGACCGTCTCAGGGCCTGGAGGCTGGTCTCCAGGTCCCCAGAGACCATTGCCCAGGGTGCCAACCTCCTCACTGAGCCCCTGCTGAAAATCCCCCAGCTGGTGATGCCAGCAATGGAGGTGCCCTGAGTATGCCAGAGGAAGTCCTGGCCAACATCAGTTGTATTGGGGACCTCCTGGACTATGCCAGGCAGGGGTGGGTGAATCCCTCTGCACTGACCAGGCCCATGGTGCTGCCCACACCACGTTCCCTGCTGCGTATTCCTGGAGGTATAAAGGCTGCCCTGCCACCCACTGCCCTCACCTATATCAACCAGATCCTGTGCCAGGGCAGTCCTCACCCCTTAGTATTTTCTAGCCCTCCAGAGCCAACTGTTGGGCCACTGGATCAGCAGGTCTCATGGCACTCCACACCCCACCCCACACCACCATCTTAGCAGGCTGGGGGATACCAAGCCAGTCTGCTTCTGAACAGCCCAGCCCAGCCCAGCCGCTCTACACACTCATGCTCCGCAATCCATCTTCCCTCCTGTCCTGCATCCTGCCCTGACAAGTGGCAGGATACCCTAGGCGAGGTCCCCCGTGGACAAGTCTGTAATCCACTTGATCCCATGAGCCACCAGGGACATCAGCTGGCAGCTATTCCACAGAGCTGTCGCCAGGGGTGTCTCTGGCATGCTTTATGGACACCCGGCACGTGCCCTTCTGCCGAGGGAGACCCCGGCGCGCCCGGCTGCAGCCCCTCTTCCACCTCCTCCCGAGGTCTGCTGCCCGGCTCCCCACAGCTTGCGCCCAAGCGCCAGGACCCCCTGGCCGCCTCCCCGAGCTCTGGCCATCTATAGCACCAGAAAGGAGGCTCTGGCGAGGGGAATCGGAGCCAGCCTCTTTCTGTGGCTCTTCTGCTCATGTCTTCGGGCAGCGTCCCCGGCAGTGTCCACAGGCTCCCTCCATCATCCAGGGGCAGTGTCCCCGGTGAATCCCTTGTCAATAACCCAGGGCCTCACTCCCCTTCCTGTTTTCTCTTTATTTGTGCCCCGGAGGCAGTCACCCTGTCCTGTCCTGTCCTGTCCCCCCCGGGGGCCTGATGCTCCCCGACGGGCACGCCCGTGGCCCGTGTCACGTAGGGCCTGTTCCCCTGCCCCTGCCCCTCCAGCACCGAGGTCCGGGCAGGCCGCTCTCCACCCGCCCCAGCCAGGGTCCCGGCCGCGGCTCGGACCGCCCTCCCGGCTGCTCGGGGCCGGCCCAGGAAGGGGCGGGAGGCAGCGGGCCCAGCCGAGCGCTCCGCACCTGCGG